TTTGCAAAAAAATTAGAGTTTACATCAAAGAAAGTCATATTATGAAATCGCAACGATCAAGAGCATAAAAAAACACACCGAAACATTTTGGTTACTAATAGCTTTGGTTTGGGTCATTGTTTCCTATCAGCCTGTATCTCTCAGGAGATCACTTATTTCATTCTTAATCTGTCCTAAAACTTGATTATAAAGCCTTCTGGAGTCCAGGTCTGATCCAAAGTCAATTCAAATCCATGGAAGAACTGTATGCTTTACGTTCAGGTCCTTCCAGACATAATACCAAGGAAACCTGTGCAGCATGGATTTCTTGAAGTCTCGGATTATGTCCAATAGCCTCTCTCTGTATCACATCCAACTAAGAGATCATCACACAATGCCACACGAAGACAGCAGCTGACTAGCTGGCAATTATTGGCTCTTTCATGATGAAAATGTATTTGTCCCAGGGGAATAAGGCATCTGCATAATTAGCAAAAGAAGTTACACAAAAAATAATTAGCTTGCTGAAGGCCCAAAGGGGGAAAAAACTGTAATTTTTGCTTCAAGAGGCTGGCTAATTATATGCCAAATAACAAAACAGAGATGCACCGAGAATCGAGAAATCCAACATGGATTTTAACTTCATATTCTAGCTATAAGGGGTGCTGGTAGCCTAGCAACAAGCAGCTTACTTCAGCATGCCAAAACCTCCTTCTGACTTAATGAAACACCTCAGATTACTATGCAAACCTCCCCCACCCCACTACACATTTGATTCTTGTATTACTAAATGATAAAAACAAAAGCCTAGCCAAAAAAATAATCAAGCAATTCAAGATAAACTCAAAGAAGCACTAATGGACTGCGGTATAGAAAGATAAGTAAATATAACGCACACGAATTATTTTCATAGACTTAAAATTCACATTCTGATTAGAGTTGATTCATTAGATTTATTCATGGGATCAAAAAATGCCCTATTATTTTAAGCACCTTTTCTAGTAGACTGAGTAAGATTTCTGTTCATGTCTTGGGAACTGTTAGTTAAGAAATCTTCAACAACTTACAGCATACTCGCTAATTTCCAAATTACTCCTGATATACGAACAACGCTGCTGCAATTGCTTTCATTTACTTGAATCCTCAGTGAGCTGGTAGAGGAAACTTATCCCGAACAGTAGTCTCAGAGCTGAGAGACCAGTTTTAGTCATCATTCTTCTCTGACCAGTTCTTTTGCCATGTTTCACCATTTCAGAAGCCACAGTTGCTTTTCCACCTGCCCAGTACCGCTATGTGCTGCAGTAAGTCAGGTTTGACAACAACTTTCAAGTCTTCTAATAGCACAACTCCAGTGCTCCTGGGCCAGGGCTCAGTTATGAGTGACACTTTAGCCAACAGTTTGCTCTTGCTTATCCACCTGAGCCACCCACCAGAGAAGTATGGGTGAATATAGTGAACCTATAAGACCACATTAAAAAAAGTTAAGACTTGATCTTTACCAGTGAGCTGGGATGTCGTGATAGAGCTTCAGTTAACCTTTCCATTTCAGAGCCATGCGTTAACCCTAAACAACGAAGAGCCCTTCCCCAAGGGGCTAAGCGTGTTACTTTTCAGCCGGGTCCATTCTGCAGCTGGTATGCACCCAACACAGGGAGCAGCTCAGGGCAGAAAACTCACCGCGAGGGAGCTGACACTGCTCCTTCCGCAGTGCCATTTTACACTGACAAGGGCTTACAGACTGCAGTCTGCATGAACAGTTGCCAGTCTGCCTCCCAAAACCTCTGGGACACTCACGCAGCCTGCATAGAGCTAGAAATAGTACATGCTAGCTACAGAGAGGGACTAACACGAGCTTTTAAGATAAGGTACAACTGCACCATATTGCCTGAAGTCATCTGATCCAGGCCATATGACATGAAGGTTAAAGCATTAGTGGTGTGTTCGCCTGGTGGAGTTACAGTCTAAAAGGAGTGGTATTAATGATAACAGATAGACACCCTCATAATCAGTACCATACTCTGCCAGACTCAAAGGATTAACAAGACTTAGACAGTTATTTCCTGAGAAAGGCAAGTCTTTTGGATGTGCAATATTTATCATCTTCCCTGGTGCTTGACAACCGCTGAAAGCGCCACCTTTGTTCAAAAGCTGCAGGAGGCTCAGGGACACAAGAAATCCAACAAACTCAGCTTGTCTTTAAGCCACAATAAACTTGTGACCGTGGGTGAAGATAAGCCTCCTCCACTGGCTTACACAACCTCAAAAAGATAAACTGAAAGCTGCACAGAGCTGTTGACACATGAGGTATGGTGAGCATGTAATGCTGTAATTGTGCTGTGCTTGGAGGGTGAGGAAGAAGCAACAAGCCAGCCTATAGCACTATGAGAAATTGAACCCTCCCCTCAAACACACACACAAAAAGGTATTAATAACTAATGTTCTCATTATCAGCTTCACAAATGAGAACTACTTTAAAATTAACTCATGAAACTACAGACTTTTTTTAATTGTTAGGAAAGATGAAAAGGTTCTGGCAGAACAATGGTAGATCCTATCCTTTCCACACCTTGCTCTTTGACCCCTTAACACTCCTCCACTCTCCCCAACTCCCTTTCCCCCATGCTACTTTTTGGTCTTGATGGTCACACAGGAGATTGAACGGAGGAGAAATGCTAACACACACACACACTCTAGGGACTGCATCCAGCCACAGCGTGAGCCAGGACAGCAAGACGACATCAGCAGATCAGGTTAAGCAGAGTGAGGAGTACTTGTGTCTGGAAGCACAAAAAGCCTGTTGATGGAGTCAAGGACATGAGACAGAGTGTGTAAGGTCTTGGGCACTGTCTGTGCAAGAAAGTTAAATCTTCAAATTCATCAAAACAGTGACAGAGGAAGGGGTATTAAAAGAAAAAATAATTCTCAATGAAGCCTAAAACTAGCAGATCTAATACACATAGATGCGTTACTTGCACTCATGAAAAAAAAAAAGTGTTCCTATGGAATCCTTCCTTGGCAATTTTAAAACAGATGGTTTGCTTTCTTGGAAAGAGATGGCACTAAGAACTGTCTGCCCAGAAGAGGTCAAGCCCATTGTCCCATCTTGCTTCTTTTGGTGTTTTCCATGGTGCCAGCAGCCTTGAATCACATCACAGCATGCACTAGGATGTTCAGTCTAGAGACCAGAACCATCAGAAGCCAAGGATTAGCAAGTGATGTCTCTGGTACTGTTCTGGGACACGTAGATGCTAAAATGATTGCACAGCTAAAACTTGCATTGGAAATAAATTAACTCTAGTTTCTTGCTCTTCATTGAAGTTTATTCTTACATGTATCTCACCTATTTCATACTAAATACTCTTCTAATCAGTTGTGACATACCCGATTTTCTACTAAGATCACCTTCATTTGGATTAGAAAAACTCTCTGTAAACTTAGCTTAAGTTTGGCTAGGGGCACATTAAGCTCCCAAATCTTCCTCCATCCCTAAGAGAATAAACCCAACAGAAATCCCACCCACAGTCACCATCCCACCACGGCATTTGTTCAAAAAGACCATGTAGCAAAACATCTCACCACAGACCATAAGTCTGCCTCCTCAAACTCCAGACAACAGTAATCTACATAGTACAATGATGCATCAAATTAACTTTTTTTTTTTGAAAGCCCATTCTATTCCACTACTAGCAAAACAAAAATTCTACCTTAGCCTAGCCAAGTGGAAAGCAGAGAATTTGGATCAGCAGTAAGCTTGTTTAAGTTTGAGTTAGCATTTCAGAACAAACACCTGGAGGTTGTAAACCTTAAGATGTTTGCTAAGGTATTAAATATTTACTTCCCCCCCTTTTAAAAAAGTACAAGGACATTTGTTTCTCAAGTGCACTTTTTTGCCACTGTAAGCCTCATCTACCTACACAGCTAGTATTTTCCCACATTATGCAAAAGCATAATTTTAACCCATTCCATCAGAGGAACCTGCACTAGAGGTCTTCATTGTTCCCAAATGTACAAGAGAATATCACATCACACTTCTGAATAATCCAAAATATAACTTCAGAATTTTCAAATAAGTCAATTTTATTACTTCCTGCAGGGATGAAGTTTACCATATTTTAAAATGGATGTGGCAAGAAGAACGATGCCTAGAAGTGAAAAAGATTTTTTTTTCCCATTTAAAAGAGCAGAGGCCTCTCTGCTCTCTTGGCTTCTGAGAGCATCGTGGGAAAGATTGGGGACATCACCTCTCCTGCTCTTGGCCTTGCGGAGGGTGTGAACTTGATAGGAACCCGCAGCACTGAACCCATGTTCTTCATCTCTGCTCTACTCGGCTGTTGGCAGAAAGATGAATTCCCTCACCAAGAATTCTCTCCAAAATCTATTCCTAAAAAATGATTTTTACTTATTAAAAATACTTTCTAGCTCATAAGCTTATCGATAAGAAAAGCAGTAATAAACACTTGTTTTCAAAGTAAGTAAAATACTAGTCTCAGACAAGACAGACAGAATTAAGGCTCCAATAAGGGTCTTTGACTATCAGTCATAAACATACGAAGTACGCAAACTTAGGAACTGCAAAATACAATCCCTAAACGATATGAGCTTTAAATGGAACGCTACTACATTAATGCGTACACTTTCTGTACTATTTAGGGCATTAAACTGAAAAGGCTTCTTCTCTTAAATTACTGTTTAATTTACCTTATGAACAATTTAAACAAAGATGCACACAGATTTGAGAACAGAAGATGTATTTCCCTAACAAAACTCAGGAGGAAAAGAAGGACAGCTCTAACAACACCTTCTGTTCTTGAAACTTACATTTCATTCTCCTTCTGATACTACTAGGAAGACAGAGCAGATTAACTAAACATCAGTTTTATTTGCTGCAAAAGCCACGTGTATATTTCTGAACAATCACCCATACTTGTTTTCCCTAACAGAATGCTTGCTCTGTGTCCATTTGAACACCTCACCAATTGAAAATTGCTAAAAACACCAAAAAGAATACAAGTACTACTCACCACCTGAACTCTGGATCATGTTTCCAGATTTTTGGACCTCATCGAATTTTGTAAAAATTACATTCAACCTGTTTGAAAGTTAAAGAAATACACCATGAACAGTTGAATTTAATTTTTCAGAATCTTCTAGTTTAAGATGTTATAGGACAAGTTTTGCTTCACTCAGGTCATTGGGAGCACTGTTAAAAGTGTCAGTGTGGAGGGAAGTTATTTTAAAATTAAAAAAAATCACAACATGCAACAGCTGATAAGAAAAACTGAGAAACAACTGATACTACAGAGGTGTAAGATACAATTGGAAATACTACATTACTGAAGATGTGACATGTCTAATTGTAGATGCATTTCCAGTTCATTACCGCTTTGCTGATCTTAACTATTTGCAGAAATACCACAAAAACACACCCCTAAAAAAACAATTTCACGCAACATTTGTCTTTGGCCCTGACACTTCTTTCCCATTCACGTCATCACAGGCCTAGTGGAGCAGATGATCTTTATCACATCTCATTATTCCTTCCCAGAGAGTTTATTTCTTTAAGCCACATTGTGGCAGCAGATGTTTTCACTGGAGAACAACAGGCAACAGGACTGCCTCCCCCTGCGTGCACCCCACCTCTGAAACAACCTCTTCCCTCCTCCCTCTGTGCATTGACACATTGCCATCTACCCCATCCTCAGGTCTAACCATGCTCCACCCTGCGCACGGGAGGTTGCGGCAAGAGAGCAGCTTTCTTACCACACCTGAAGTGGCAGAAGCAGAGGGACAGGGCTTTGGTATTGGTGTGGGTGGGTTTGTTTTGGTTGTTTTTTTTTTTTTTTAATAAAGCCTTGGAACTGATGATATTGACTGTGGGGTTTTTTTATGACAGCCTTCTAAGTGGCATAAACCCAGGCTGCTCTAAAGTGTCCTCTCTACACATGCAGAACATACAGGGAAAACACCACATTAATCTTAAAGCAGTTAACTACACATCTGTAATAATTTTATTGGTTTTCCAGAGATGCTGTGGCATGCTTGGCAAAGGTACAGGACCCACTTTAAGTGAAACCTGAGTATTTGTAGGATGGGGGGGAAAAAAAAAAAAAAAAAACCACACCAAAAAACCCTGATCCCAGGAAGAAGTTCAATCATGCAGCTCCTGAAGCCTTCTAAAGGAAGGGAATAAAAAGCAGCCCAAAAAATAGTGAAGACATAAGGATATTCTCAACTTACCGAGATTGGGGTAATCCTTTTTTACTGAGATCAGCCCTTACACGTTCACCAACATGTCTGTAAATTTCCACAAGGCTGTTTATTGCTGCATCTCGAACCTGAATGTGAGATATGAGAGAAATCAATCACCTTTATAATTTAAATAAATAAATCCCTGCCCTACCTTAGAGAGAAAGAGATTTGCATATTTCTCAGCAACAACAGTTGCCACTACGCACGTTACCACAGAGTTCATGAAGGAGTTTCCACCCCTGCATTTCAGATATTAGCAGTATCAGCAGGTCTAATTTAATTGAAAGGGCAGTCAAGACGTAAGATGAAAGGTTTCGTACACAGGGAACTTGGCTGCCTTTGCCAAACTCCACCCATTGTGTCCAACAGATACATTTACTGGATCAAAAAAGCAAGGAGACACACGAATAGACCTTATATTGCTAGTATGTTATAAAACAAACTGATTTTTAATGCCATCTTACAAACTTATGTTTCTATGTTGATAACAAAATATGGAGGGAGGAGTAATCAATCACCTGAGTCACCATGAATTTTGCATGTTTTCCAGACTGATTTGCAAAAAATTGCTGAGCACATCCTTCCCTCCCTCCACTCAACAGAAGAGCCACAAATCTGATTAAAGTGTCACCTTTCTGTACTGAACCCCCTTCCCTCCATCAGACACAGCAGGCAGAGAAGATGAACTATCTGCTCTGCCTACAGAAATACCCACGGAGCCGTGCACTTCTACTTCTCAGAAGATAGCCTGGCAGCTATGGAAGCACCCACACGCATCAGGACTAGACACAGGATGTTTTGCGGGCACAAGCTAGAATCGCCTGTAGGTGGGAGTCAAAGGGCAGGCACACGTGCCCTGCTTCCGAACCAAAAAAAAACCTAACACTTGACTCATGCTCATCTCGCCCCGTTCTCCTGCTCCGCAGCCTTCCTGTTCAACAGGTCTCTGCCAGTTTCCAAACTGCTGCCTTCACTCATGCCAGCCCTTACTCAGCGGTCTTGCCTCTCTTCTCTCTGCCCATCAGCCCTGTACACTTCTGGGCACAGCTCAGGAGGGACTCTTTGGTGTCCCCAGTTTCTGGGTACGCAGACCCTAACCCAGCCTCCCTCTGCCTCCGACAGCCAGGGAGAGGAGGTCGCAGCACCTGCACCTCTGCCCGCAGAGAGTCCACCTGCCCTGGGGCCCAGGCGCCAGCTGCAGGGGCACAGCCGCCAGGGCACGGTGACAAGCTCTGCCGTATCCCCAGCCTGCTGCCATGCCCCCTCCAGCTGCGGCACGCAGTGCAGCCGACCACGGAGGTCCTCGCAGCATGATCTGGAAGGATTGCCTGTGCGTGTCAAGTTAATCAGAGGTATGGTTGCAGGACTGGGTAAACCCCATATTGGGCAAAGCAGGGAGCTCCTACTATCATACTTGCTTTAATCTACCACAGCAATAACAAAGCTGTAATGCTCAATTTTATTTTTGAGAAAAAAGTCATAGTTTAAATACAGTTTTCATACCAGCCGCTCACTGGGTTACACAAGCTCTTAAACTGCATTAGCTGGAAACAACAAAACCTAAAACACATTCATTCTGAGAAGGGCAGTAACGAAACAGCTCCATGTCCACAACAAAAGGGATAAACACTGCACTTGACCTGGATCTGTGTTTCTCCATCATCTCTCACCAAGAGAGGGCAGCATTGACCGAGCATGAGGCACAGCTCGAGTCTCCCAGAGCTCAGGAGAAGGCACTCGCAGCACACAAGCAGCCCTAGGGGAGCCCAGGACAGGTGCTGTTCAACCAGGAGCCACTTTGACAGCAATTTGTGTCTGATCAGTTCGGGCATGGGCTTTCTGAGGATGAGACACCAGACCCAGGATAAGGGGCAAGAGATCAGCCTTATTTCCCACTGCAGCTGGGGACTGGAATAACGAGCTGTGCCAGGCACATGGAAGAGGCAGTGCAGAGGGAAAACATGCCTCAGTCCCCACACCGACTTTCTGATTCATTCAACAGCTCACCAATGGCAGGACCAAGGTGACTGTCTCTGCAACAAGTCAAAGTCCTAAACCCAGTGTACCCTCAAAGAATAACAGCTTGCTCAGCCGTGGCTCAGAACTACAAAGGACCCTGAACATTAAGCTTCCTTCAAAACTTCTTGGGGTGACAGGTTTATCCTCCTGCATTGGCACAACCAGCAAGGGAAGGTTGCTTCGCACTCAGTCCTCCTCTTCATCAAGAGGAGGCCCTGACAGCCATGGGAATATGGCCAACTCCAGAGCCAGTGTAAACCCCATTCCCCAGTTGGCCATCCCATGCTTCCTTCCAGCTAAATGCTCCAGACCTGGATCATGTGTATGCATCACCCATGCTAGGAAGGCAAAGGGGATATTAAAAAACTGCTAATACCCATGTTATACGAGATTAATTTGAAACCTGCTTCCCCATCCCTCTCCTCCTCACTAACCTCACATACTTGCTTCTGATTTCAGATTAGGTCCTGTCCAGGGCAGGACAAAAAGCACATAGCAGTGACAGATTTTCTTTTTCAACATGTATTTTAATTTGTTTTGCATCGCTGATTTAAGGATCCTGTACAGCTTCCACACCTTATTCAGAATCTCTCTGTACAACTTCTGGCAGCGCACGTGGCCAGGCTGTCCGACTGCTCCCATTTGCCTTCCCTGCCCAGACTAGTTCTTCTCTGAAGGTGAAGGGTGCTGCACCAAACCCAGAGGGATCCCTGCAGCCTCCCCTGCGTGCAGGCTGTCAGGTACAAGAGCTCCCTTCCTACAAAGGTTTCCTGCTCTGTTCACCTCACCTGCAGATTCACGTCGTTCTTTTGAACTCTTGGAGTAACCAATATGCTGGTTTAGGCATACTTCAAATCATACCTCTTCAAAACCAGCCAAGGGCTTTTCACGAACAGCATTGTTCAGAGCTCACCACCAGCAGCACAATTAGCTAATTTACCACCCAGAACGCAGAGCCTCGCTTACCAGCAAGGCAATCAGCACAACCTTTAGATGTGACTCACAGGAAAAGCTTACCTGGCTGTTTGGATCTCCAAGTAAGTTACATATATGTGGCACTATCTTACTCAGTGTTAAACTCTGAGCTCCAGATCTGGGAATAAAGAACAAAAGGGCACCACTGTGAGTTACAAAGCAGGCTTGTGTACATAACGTAGGTTTGCAGGAGGTTCTGACTTACGCATTGAGTGTTGCAATAAGGCAGAGACAAATCCCTTCTCTTGTCCGGAAATTCTTGTGTTTGAATCCTCCTAGCATCCTGTCCCACACATACTGTGGAAGACAGAAAAGAAGGTGGGACGGGAAAACAAGAGGTGGAGGAAGAGACAGACTCTTTCTTCCAGCAGACGTACACCATAACATCTATGGAGCTTAAAATATAAGCTTTACATCCATCCAAGCAGAACAGGACAAGAAGTAGAAAGACATTTTTAGATCTGACTTATGTTTGTTCTGTACTGACTTCGCAGTAACTCCCCACTAGCTAAAATGATAACTTTTACTTAAAGAAAGCAAGTACTTTCCAAGGACCCAGAACAACTACACTGACATCCACCCATCTCATCCTTGGGAAATCCACTGACACTCACACTCCCACGTGTATCCTGACATGCAACAGCATTCTCAAATGAAGCGAATATCTCAAAAAAGCATAGGGAGATGAAGCCATTTGAGACGGGGCCACAGGAGAAAACCTTCTGTCTGACAAAAAAAAGTTCTCCTTTTTAAGCAGCCAGTCACTCTCACACACTGCAGAGGGCTGTCGAGCATACCTGAGGGTTAGCAGCTTGTTCCATGATTTTTAGCAGCAAGGTCTGATCCTGCTCCCTCACCGAGTCCTTAGAGTCTCCCAGCCTATCAAGTAAACTTGGCAGCACTGAGGAAAGAAAACAGGAATATCCAAATCCCTCAGAAGAAAACCGTCACAGTGGCACAGCCCCTCCGCTCTCCCCCCGCCCAATGGAGGGACGAGGTCTCCCACCCTTCAGCAGAGACTCCCGAGTGCTCTCCAGGGGAAAAAGGAAGCTTTGTGTACAAGCAGCCAAAGTGGATCCCACCAGAGCGATGGCAACATCCCCCTGACTCACACGCAGACCCCTTACCTGTGCCAATCTGGGCCTTGAAGCGATCTTGCAAGCGGGACACTAGTGCAGAAAGGATGTCGATCCCCAGGAGAACCACCTGCAAGCACAGGACAGACAGCATTTTAGCATGCAGCCCTTCACGCCCAGCCTTGGCCAATGCACCCGAGAGGCGGGAGCGCTGGCACACGCTCCCCTGGGAGAAGGGCTCCTTCCCACCCACGCCGTCGACACTGCGTCCGTCTGCTCTGGGGCTGCGCTCACTCAGGTAACAGGGCTGCACAGACACATACAATTCTTCCTTGCATGGCTTCTGACAGACAAGCTGAGTGGTTTGCAAACAGAAAAGCCCCCAAATTATTGCTCTCTATGATGTTTACAAGCCAAAATTCACCGCCAAGAACTTGACAAAGCCAACAACTGTAACTGCCGCTCAGTGCTAAAATCATACATATTTATGTGCAATGTACACATACCATATGCATAACAATTTCAGTATTTACTGTAACTAGCATTTCTAATTAATTGTAATTATTACACTTGTAATTAGGAAATGGTGTGCACTAGCAGCTGCTTAGTTACTCACTTGCAGAAATTAAACCAAACACTTTCATGACATAACTGAAACCCAGGGAAAGGCACTTTGTTTGAGAGAAGCTTCAGGACAGGGTCCAGATCAGAAAACCCACTCTGATTAACTGCATTTAATAACAGTACAAAAAAAAAAAAAGCATTATATACCGAGTATACTTTGCAGCTTGCATACTAAATACTCGGCAAGACCTTATAGATCACGATGGCTCTGTATGAGACAGCCCTCCGCCAGTTTTTGGCGAGGCGCTGAGGTTAGCATCCCCCGGCAGGGCTATGGGCAGCCAGGCTCCTGAGGCGGCGTCAGCAGGGCTGCCACCGGGCAGCCCCGCTCCCCGCGGACGGCGAGCGCCCTGCCCGCCCGTATCTCTAGCTATACGTATGCACGTGCACGGAGGCGGCTGCTGGCGGGGCGGCCGCGCCGGGCA